ATGTACTCTACAATATATATTTAATCATACTTATAAAAATTTATACATTTCATTATTGGAAAATATATATTGTTTTACGTTTGTTATGTCCGACAGATTCATAAAAATCTATAATTTATCTGATTTATCGTATACTCTATAATTTACACGAATAATGAAGATTAATTTCACATTTAAAAGATATTGAAATAAGTAATATTTGCATTTGTTTTGATCAATTTACAAATAAAAATATTTAAACTGATAGTATTAACATATGTTTGATAAAAACATATTTAACTTTATTATATTTATACACAATACATATCGTTATGTTTATAGATATTAGAAATCATATCATTTATCATACACATTTAAGTATTAAAATATATATATATATATGTTAAAATCGACTAGTTCACTGTTAATTGATTTTGAGTTAGAAACATATGAACTTAATTTGTTGACCCAAATAGAGTAATGCAAGTAAGGATTTCGGTCAATCCTAGAATGAAATTCGGTTGAATATGGACTAAAACAACCATTATCTCCAGGGTGTATTAGGAGTCTCATATTGGAAATTGAGATATGATACAAGTAATATTTATGACATATACCAATTCACTCATCGCTAGTTTTTTTTTTATTTATTTTCTATCATGATAAAAATTTAATAAGATAAAACGGATGTAAAAACCAATTTTAATGAATCCATAAGTGAACTACATAGCTTTGAAGAGGTTAAAGAGAAATGATCATTCCGATTTGATCAACACTGTTTTTTAGCACGTGCAAGTGGAGCATTCAAATATGATCTCGACTCAAATACAAAAGAAAATTTTAACTATATATACAAAATGGAGCCTTTATTTTCTAATTTTTTTTTTTTTTACTATATTAAATATACGGATACGTTTAATACATATTTGAATTTGAACATCAATTTTCCTCACACGTCATTGACGTCTATCAATTTTAAAACTTCAAAACGCATTTTCAATTCCATCAAAGAATGTGATATATTCTAGTTTTTATGATTTTTTATATGGTGTTTATTATTCTATCTAGTGGTTTATATGCGGTTTTAGTGTGATTGTAGTATTTAGAGTCTTTTACAGGTTAATTGAGCAAAAAGGATGAGAAAAGAGATATTGGACAGTTCTGAAGCGCCATATGTCAAGCAATCGTTGGAAGCATTAAGTTCATTGGATTGATCTGAAATTTGGACACGAGATAGAATATTGAGTCAACTTGCATCCAAAAGAAGATTGAAGTYATTTGGATCAACGGTCAGAAAGTTACACCAATTCTCGTGAAAACCTGTCATTCTGGCTAAACCGACGAAAATAAARGAAATTTTCAGTGTTTCCTAATTTGACTTGGTTTTGCCAGAGATTTTGACCTGCACGATTTTAGACCTATAAATACATGTTTTTAGCCACTTTATAAGAGAGGACCTTGTAATTTATCCATACCTTTTGTTTCTA